AAATGAATTTGTTTGAGTTCGGAATATTCAAGAGAAGAAAAAAGGGGGAGTTTGTTTGAGAGGATCACGGTCAAGGACGGGAAACCTTGCTTGTTTGATTTTATATGAAACTTGTTGTTTGAGAGGATCACGGTCAAGGACGGGAAACCTTGCTTGTTTGATTTTATATGAAACTTGTCTCTTGTGCGCTTCACCTCTAGAATTATAAGTTTTAAAATATCAAAAAAAAAAAAAAAAGAATTATAAGAATTTTTTTTCAAATTAATTTTTTTTAGAAATTTTAATTTTTTTTAAGTTTTACAAGTTTAATATATATATTATGTTCACATACCACATTTCATGTTACTTGATTTTTTCAATATAAAAATATATTAAAATAATATATGTCGCAATAAAAAAACAGAGATTAAACAACCATTTAATCTTTACTTTTTATCTTCAAATCAATTTTACAATTTATATTTAAAATTAAACCCTATTTCTCTAATATTATTTTTTTGACAAACCCTATGTATTGATTTTAATATTTAAATTTATTTTTATTAAAAATATAATATGATTTATCATTTCATCCCACTACTATATATGGTAAGAAGGATGGGATTTTGATACACAAATTGTGGAACCCCATTTTGTCAATTTTCTTACTATTCTTTTATACACTTTGAAGATGGTGCGTCGACATATATTTATTCATTTATCGTAATAGTTTTGTTGGGGTTAATTTATTAGAAAAGTTTAAAAGCATGCGTTGAATGAAGGCATAGCATATTAGTATTACAATACAAGCCAAAGTTTGGAAAAGTAATGCCCAAGCAAACAAAGGGAAATCATAGCTGGTTGGACAATGTTGAATGTTCATACTTTTAAAATTAAACCCCTTACCAATTCTATTATTACTTGCTATTTTTTATGGGTAAAAATATTAGACACATCCCCGTATCATGACATGATCATATATTTTCTTTAAATAAGTTCAAATGATTAATTTTTAAAAAAATGTCAATTGAATATGAACTTGATTGATGTTATTATTATAATTATCACGTATAAAAGAACTTTAATTTAAATTATTTAATTTGAGTTCGAATAATTACGCATACAGGGTGTGTGTATGCTGTCAATAATTAAGAAAGATTTTGAACAAATATTATCTCGTTATCACTTCGTATATCTATGAGTTTAATAGACGGTAAATTTTTTAAATAATTTGAATAGATATTATAATAACAGTTAAAATATTATATATTTTAAATTATTACCACGTCATTCTTATAATATTAATAGTTTTTTTTAATCTTATAAAATAATTATTTTACTTGTTAAATTCAATTCATTAAGCGACTTTAGCGGTAAAAATTAATATTATTCTCTTCAGAAATTTTGAGTTCAAATAATTCAATTTAGGGAATGTATGTATATTGTCAATTACTAAAAAATATTATAAATAAATAATAGCTTACAATGACCTAAATTATTAAAAAAAATACTATTTTAATCAATTTTCCTTATCTATCCAACCATTTTACTTCTGAAATACGTTAATCCAAATATGGTATTGTAGGATAATACAAAGACGTTTATTATATTTTATTTTATTTTCCCAATCATTTTATATACAAATTAAAAGCAAATGTATAAAGTCATCCAATATATCATCAAAAGAAAAACCATTCCCAAGGACAAATTTGTCAAACTATACTTCTTTTCATTTGGTCGAAATCTCCATACTTTATTTGACTTTTCTCCAAAGAATTTTTTTTTTGATGAGTACAAAATTCAATTCAATCAATCATCTAGATCTTCAAATTTTGTAATACAGAAAGGTTGTTTTACTTTTACACGTAAATGTGTTCAAATTTGATTTGGTACTTCAAAATATTTATTATATTTTATTTATAATTAAAAACAATTTTTTCCATTAGTTTCTAGTGAATCGTGAAGTGGGGGACAATAAGTGGTTATTTTAATATACTTAGTAATAAATTAATATTTTTCTGTTCATAAAGCTCGTCACTTTTAAAAATATTTATATTCATTTTTTAATTAATTAAACCAATGTGTGTATAAATCAACAGTTTTGGCCTGGGCATCTCCGTAATCCTTTATTAAACCTATTAACTTAGGCCAGTGTTTTATTTTATTTTTTAATCATACTCTTAATACTGTCGTCACAGGATCAGTAATTTCATTGAAAGGAAAATACGTTCATCAAATAAAACTGTTAAAATAATTTATTATATTTCATGTTTATTAAATATAATGAATTATTATAAAAAATTGATATTAAATATTTATAAAAAATATTTGCATATTAGTTTTCCACACAGTTACATGAGTGTGTCGATTAGTAATTAGTTTTTATGGTTTTGTACTCGAATTAGGTTTGATAGCCAAACTGGGTTTTGCAGCTAAAAGTTAGTTTTTGTGTTGTTAGTCAATAGTTAACGAGTTAGTTGTTATTTTTTTATTTTAAACAAATTTTCATTGTAGGCATAGTATCAAAATTTTCACTGTTAGTCAACATTTTCTTGAAGCATTTTAGTGATTAACATTTTAGAATAATTTTTTTTAATATTTGATTGAATAATCATTGGGTAAGTTACGTGTTTAATATTAAATTATTAATTTTTGTCTATTTTAATACTTAAACTTTTAATTGTTGCAAATCATAACTAACATTTAATTTTTGTTTCATTTTAGTACCCTACCGTTAAAACCTTAACGGATCTGTTACAACTTGATTTTTTATGGGTAAATTACATTATTCATTCCTTAACTATCTTCTCACTCCTATTTTGATAATTGAAGTTTAATTATTTTAATTTGATTACTTAACTTTCAAATTACTCTTAATTTAATCACTCTAACTTTCAAATTTTTTATTTTAATTATATATTAATAAAATAATAAAAATATTATGTCATAAAATATTATTAAAAAATAAATTAGAGTGATTAAACATGAACAATTTGATAGTTGAGAATTTAAATTGAGAATTTTTAAACTTTAATGACCAAAATAAGATTGAGAAGATAGTTAAGGGATGAATAATGTAATTTACCCATGAAAAAAATGTCACGAGCAAAAGTTCCGTTAAATTTTTAACAACGGGTACTAAAATGAAACAAAAACTAAACGTTAGGTATGGTTTTGATAAAAATAAAAGTTAGGTATTAAAATAGATCAAAACTGATAGTTTAGATATTAAATGCGTAGTTTACCCATAATCATTTGACTCTTCTTTATGTAGAATTTTGGCTCATAGTTTTTCATTTTAGAGTAAAAAGATTCTTATTTTGGAGTGCTAATTATTTTTTAACTAACGATATCTATCAATAGAGGAGTCTTTTTATCCCAAAATAAAATATTGGAGGGCAAGATGTTCTAAAACAGAATAGGGGTCAAAAATGATATTTTGATAAGCATTATGGACTAATTTTAACATTATACCTTCATTGTATTGGGTCAAGTTAAGTCTCTATTTTCACTCGATTGATATGCTATAACTTCAAGGTGATAACTCTGAGAAGTTACACCACTCATCAAGAGTATCAAAGGTAATCCTCAACTTCCTCCTTTTTTTAGCTTCAAGATGAGTTCTTAAGCTCTTAAAAATGGTGTTTGGGTCCAATTCGGATTTGAAAGAGAGTTGAGGGAAAAAAATAGATGTTTGACTCATTTTCATTTATTTATGCATTTCAAAGTTTGTATTAACAAAATTGGATTAAATAATTCGAAACAATTAATTAACAAAATAGGATATCTTTAAATTTATTTTCATTTATTTACTATTTCAAGCACTAAATGTTACCAACCCTCTGATGTATGCCTCTGCTTTTTATTCCACTTTTTGTCGTCAGCCAACATCATCCTCCACCGTTCAGGGGTTTGCTTCTTTGCGGCTTTTGAATTTGGAAGATAATTGCTTAACTGAATGGAATGGAATCTTGAAACTTTCTCAACTGAAAAGGTCAGAATGAACCTTTCCAGGATGGTGTTCCGGTGTTTTCTGGTTGCTGAATTCTCTTGATAGTTCATAACTCTGTAATTCTCGGTCTTCATCTGGCTTCAGGAAGTAATGATATTAGCAATGGAGTATGGAACAAGGTTCTACTTTAATTATTTCTGTGGGGGTAAAATCAAATATTTGTGATTAAAGGTAACATTATATATGCAAGCACCACTGGTTGCACATAATGCCCAAACATGTATAATGTGACATGCTTCTGCGAATTTATATTTTTGCTGTTTAGCTACCTGATCAACTAAGTTTTATGAATCATACCCACTAAACTAGACCTTAATAAAACGCTAGATTAGTAGGCTCCAACGCTAGATTCTTGCTCTTGGAATGGTTTTTTTTTCTTTTTCCCTTTGCTGCATCCCAAATGTTTAGCATCTTTTCTTATTGTTCTTTTATTACTCTTAAGGACATCAGGCTTTCTGATAACCCGATAACTGATCCTGGAAGAGGTTGTCTTCCACGATTTGCTTTAATTGCACGATTAGCAAAAGTTGAAATGCTAAATGGGAGCGAGGTAAACTCTAGATACTGCATAAAAGGCCTGCCTTGTTTTCTTTCTTTTGTGCGGGTCTAATGAATTTAATGTATACTTATCCAACAATCTTTCAGATAAGTGCTCGAGAAAGGAAGGAGTAAGGCATAATAGCAGTCATTAATCTTGTGAAGCACATTATACTGTTCTGTTATTTATGGTCCCACTTGCTTAAGTTAGCAGTTCATACTAAAATGAGTTCCCAGGCAGATATATCTTGATAAACTGTTGATATTAGCGTATATCTTCTAATCTTCTTGAAACACACTTTTTCTGTGAAACATTTAAGTCACTTGTCTGACGTGGCAGGGATTTTTTTTAGTAAATAGTTTTAATAATTAGCGTATATCTTGATAATTCTTGTGTACGAATCATAGATTTATCCGTCTTTCTTTTTGTTAACGTCTCTTCATGGACTTAAAAGTTTTCAACTGTGTATATAACGTGCAGCCATCACTCTGAAATGTGTGGCTCCATCCGTTGGTGAGAACCATCCATTGACAAAGAAATTGCCAGCCACTACAACAGTTATATTCTTGACCATTTCCTTCAAGCATGTTTAGTTGGATATGCGTTGAGGATTCACTCACAATTAGTTTTCTCTATTTTAGGTTGGAAAACTGAAGGCCCTTTGTGAAAGCTTTTTTAAACTAAGTCCTTGAAGCTGAAATTGTTTCTTCAAGAAGAGGTTTATCTTCTAACGAATTCGTGATGACGCCTTTTATGTTTTATTCTTCTTTGTCATGATTTGTTTTCTTTTCTAGTAGTAGAAATTATACCTGAAGAAAGTGCCCTTTATAGCTTTGGAATATCATTTGTAATTCCTGTTCAAGTTTGCAGGGTTCTCCTTTACCAATGTTGCCTGATGATGACATGGTGTCTTTAATGGACATCGGGATTGGCAACGAGTCCACTATTATTGTGGATGAAGAGAGTTGACAAACAATTTGATAGAGCTAATCGGGCTATTTTGTGAATATGCAAGGTAGTTGTTATCTCTCCTTTCCTGATTTACTTGATCTTCAGGAATACAAGAAAGCTTTTGCGCGCCTTTCTATATAATGTATATATCTTCTATTTTCAGTTGTTTGGGTTATGGTTTTAACGTCAAATTTTCTTGATAGGATGATACATGTAGGGATGGGCATGGCACTTGAACCCGACAGGTTCCGACCTGATCCGATCGGGTCGGGTCGGATTTTTTTTATAAAAAAAATTCATGTTCTAGTCGGGTGTTTTTAAAGGTGATGTTCAGGTCGGGTCAGATTATGATTTATGGTGAAAACTATCCGACCCGACCCGGGGAAAAAATATAATTTTACCTTATATATTTATGAATAATTACAATAATACTCCTCTATATATTATTTTTTCCCAATTAAATCACTGTTTTTATTGAATAAAAATAATTTTTTTATTATTTCGGGTCGGGTCGGATCGGTTCAGATTTTAACTAAAAAAATCGGATCGGATGGAGGGTGTAAAATTTTCGGATCGTGTCAGGTCGGGTGAAGGATGTAAAATTTTCGGGTCCGGTGGGGTTGGCCGAAACCCGACCCAAATCAGACCTATGCCCATCCCTATATACAGATGAGGCTGAGATGAAGGTGTGTTTGACTTTCCGGATTGAAAAATCATACATACCTTATAACACACTGTAGTATCTCTATCTTGTGTGAAATAAATGGCTATCAAAAGAGTGCACCACAGTGGACCTTATAAGACGCTGTATTATCTCTATCTCGTGTCAAAATGGCTATCGAAAGAGTGCACCGCAGTGGACATTAATTTGTTTTTGAAATGGCTACGGAATACACTTGGGCTACTTGTGTGAAGTTTTGGCATGGGCATCGACATACCATCTCCGTACAAAATTCCGTTTAATATTTTTCTTTAAACGTTTTTTAATATCAACAAACTTTCAGCTTTGTATGTATAGTTCAACCTGTGGATGTATCCACTTCCGTGCAGGGCTTACCAGCACGCAAACAATGAAAGATTTAGTCCAAAAAAGATAACAGCTAAATGTGCCAATAGTTATATAATATAATTTGATTTATTGATCGAAATCTTATAAATATATATTACTTTGAACAAAATATTACAAAGTAATGATAAAATAAAACTCCAGACCATAAAAGAAATTAACAATATTATTAATAACAGTGTTAGCTCCCATTTAGTAGAAAATATTATCCGGAGGGCAAGAGAACAAAACCAAAGATATGAAAGAAATTAGTAGCACCGGAAGTTAAAAACAAAAATACCAAAGATGACACTGCCATCTAGAAGTTGTTCGGTACATGACTACATTAACCAACACACCAAATACAGGAAGACTGCCATGTCAACGTGGTGCAGCATACATCTGGGTAGAATCGTACTGCGGATATCCAGGCTGGGGTGATACTGTTTTTCCATACCCAGCAGGCGCAGTACCCGATGCTGGTGCTGATGCTGGTGCTGTTGCTGCTGCATAACCACCAGATTGGGTAACAGACTGATCATAGGTAGGATGAGCTGCTGTTGTTTGAGCATAAGTGGATTGGCCACTGGTTGGCGGTGCACCATATGTCGCCGCAGCACCACTAGCATAACCAGAATCCTGAGCCCCTTGATAGCCATAACCTGCATTGTTTGGAATTTGTTGCTGTTCAGAGTAACCTTGTGATGGTGGGTATTGACCATACCCGGCAGTACTTGCTTGAGCATAAACGGTTGGCTGACTGTAACCAACAGGCTGGGTACCTTGCTGCGGATAAGCTTGGCCAGTAACAGATGTAGGCTGACTATATCCATCACTAGGTGGTGCAGAGCCATATGGAGGATAGCTTTGTTGTGTGGGCCCACTTGATGCATATGGGTACTGCTGCTGTGGAGGGACATTCGGACCGTATGACTGTGCAGTTGGACCTTGATATGGTACTTCAACACGTTGATTGGTTGGACCATATGATTGGGGTACTTGTGATCGCATTGCATATGATGGTGACTTGCCATATTGCTGCTGAGGAGCATACCCAGGTTGAGGACCTGTCTGCGCATATCCTGCCTGAGTAGACCCATGCCCTCCATAAGGATGCTGGACAGGGGTGTGATTTTCATACTTCTCTTCATATCCATGTCCGTAGCCATGCTGCGGAGCAGCTTGGGAATAGGGTGGTGGATGGGCATAATCTACCGGACCACGAGGCTGTCCATAACTATAATTTGACTGAGACGAAGCTGGCCCCATAGCTGGAGCAGGTGAGGGCCTGCTGTAGTAATCATAACCTCCACTCTGCGGAGGTCCCTGCATATTATGAGGCCTCTGCTCCCAACCAGGACCAAAGTTGCTCCTTGGAGCCATTGGATGAGAAGGGTAGCCACCATAAGGAGGTTCGTAATGAGAGTTTTGAGATGGATATGGTCCCCATTGCTGATAATCATATGACCCTGTTTGTGAAGGATGGCCACGGGGACCCCAAGGCGGTGGACCACCAGTTCCCCGAGGTCCATAGCCCTGCTGATTGAAACCACCAGAAAGAGATGATGGCCTGACAGTCTATCCATCAATCAAAATAATAAGTTAGATAAGGAATTTCATTCACCAATTTCGAGGGGGGGATCCAAGTAGAAGACAAGTACCAATATCATGTTAACAAAATAAACAGGATACTAGGTCATTGCTTTGTTAAAGCAGGAATCATGTAGCAAACAGCAACAATGATGAAACAAATACTAATTTAAACAAAAATGAGAAATAAGAAAAAGCAAAGAGGTGTCTGTCGAACCACATCTTTAATCAAACTTTTTATGAAGCAAGGAAATAAGAGGAAGTAAATATCATCACCTATTTGACATACTAAATTTCTAAGTGGACAAATCTCACCAACCTGTATCATTAAATGTTAAACTAATCAAAGACTACAGTGAAGATCTTAAATGTTAAACTAATCATTAAGTACAAGAATATGAGATTTCATGAGAGTTGACCAAGATCGACTTGAACCTCATATCTTTCGGGCATCTTGAACTACAAGGATATGTTAAGACTTTCACATAAGATCATGTCATCCAAGTGATGCAGCACGATAACATACATAACACAATGTCAATTATTTTTCTGATCTTATAGCAATAAACTTTAGCACATCAGCTCTATACACAGGAGGACAAAGTATCATATTTTAAACATGGTATCAAACAACATTCAAGGCGGTACTTATCCAATATACATTTCAGACATGATGACTTCACCAGGTGTACTTCTTCCAACACATCTCAAGAATAGAACATGGAGGCCTCTCATGCAGTCTCACTACATTATTTATTTTCAATTTTCAAGTCTCAAAGCAATCTTACCAACTATTAACATCTTGCAATGTAAAGTTTAATGCCAGATACCTCTCTTCAGTGGATGAAGGGGAATAGTGGTTGTCTATTGCTACAGCAAGAAAGCAATGCTGACCCCATGGAATAGGTACCCAAAATCTGCAGATTTTAAAGCCAACGAGTTCGAAATTGGCACCTTCAACATAAATAAAGCATGGCAACCGGCATCTTGGATTGCATAAATTATCGTCCTAATAGCATTCAAGTGATGTTGGCATGGATAATTCACTCTTTGTTCAGGAAAAAAAATCACTCCCCGTAAGAAAGTCCTCCTCAAGTCCGATGGCAATATCTCATAGAAGAAAATGCAGTTCACTATAACTGATTGTTTGCTTTGGCAAATCCATTGAAGGAGATAGATTTGTACCCACTCAATTATATACCATATGAGACTTGTTATTTTGATATTTGCTAAAAGGAAAAACATATACACCAGTGGTGAAGATTATAAATTCCACAAGCAAGGTTAGAGGGTTGCCATATGTCCTATTAGGATATATTCAAGAAAATTAATTCTTATAATAACTAAATAGATGTGCGAAAACTTTCTAGCCCTGATTCAGGAGTTTAAAAACTTCACTACCAATGTATGTAATCCTCTTCTAAAATCGTATCTCATAAAGAGCATATTTTATTTGTGAAGAGAAGGAAAAAGCTCACACATCCAAATTCACATGCAGATTTTCTTGAAACAATGTCATTTAAATGGAATACCTGTGATCCTTTCAAATGTTTTTTGCACATGCTGAGAGTAAGATATTAAGTTACAAACACAAGAAGCAAACCTCAATATAACAACCTATGCAACTCCAGTAATTCCACTCTGTTAAAACTACAAGGAAAAGCATTGAAGAAATATCCAACCTACTCAAGCAATAACATCATGCCCGTGACATATTCATAACTGCCTCAGCCATATCTTAGATGTTTTTAAGCCATTAGCACAATAATATAATTCATATAGGATGTTCCAAAGCAAGACTCAACAAATGATTGAATTGAGGGATCAAAGGTTGTGTAAATTTATATTAATTCTCACTCCCATAATTCCGATCCGCCAAATCTATCAGGAAAGCATGCAAGAGAAATCCAGAACTACACAAACAATAATATTTTGCTCACGACATGTTCTAAACTAGCCTCAAACATATCTTAGATGTTTTTTGCCACCAGCACAAAGATACAATTAAAATCAGATGCTCCAAAACATAACTCATCAAATTAATGGATTAAGAGATCAAATATCACAAATTTATACCATAAGTTCATTGCTGGTAATTCAATAACAAAGTTTCTTTCAAAGTAGATACCCTAGCTCCGGTGACAAATATTCAAAGAAGATACACAGGATGCAGTCAAAATACTAATAGAAAATAAATTATAAAGAAAAACATGCAAGGAAATAAAAAAGCAGACCTGATTCATAACGTCTTTTATCATTTCTCTGGCAATCTCAATTTGCTTCTTATCCCCAGTTACCCTCACTGTCCTTTCTTTTGACCCATCCCCTTCTGGGAGATGTTGAGGTATCAACTAAAAAGATATTAAATTGTCAGCATTGGCCAGGTCAGTTTTGTAAGAACTTCAACCCTGGCTGGGACAAATATACATCAATTACCTGAATTCGAGCCCCCGACCTAGTCTGCAGTCCTTTTATAGTTTCCCCACCTCTACCAATGATTAAACCAACCTGAAACAGGTAAGGTAACATACATCATAGTGAAGACTAATGCAACTTTTAACCAGTGCATTCAGGTAAATATAGCGGAAAGGGGGGGGGGGAAGAAAACCTTCTCATTTGGAACTCGTATCTCAATTTGATCAACAGCACCAGTAGCCTGTGTGGCACCAAGACCCCTAGCTACTAGGGAAGGAGAACCACCAGCATCAGCCTGAAACCAATTTGAACATCAAGTTAATACAAGAAACAAAGGATAGAAATTTGGCAGTAGAGGAGGAGAAGGAACAGGTTAAATAATTAATGCATGGAGCTAGATATGAATAACCAAATTTCAGAAACAACATACAACCTCTGCTATGACAGCATTTATAAGCTTCTCAGCCTTGTTTATGCTACTTAATGTTCCAATTATTTCCACAGGTCTTGTAGGTGCATCACGATCAGCATCTGCATCCCTCATAATTTGAATTTTTGCACCTGAGTTGTATTGTAGGTACCTTATAGGTTCCCCTGCCTTTCCAATGAGAACACCAACCTGCGCAAGCATATGAGAAATAAAAATCATAACACATACTTCCCACACAAAATCAGATTGAGTGCTTTTTAATTAAAATATGCAACCTGAAGTAATGAGCATTAGTTTGTGACAACGTGATAAACATGAAGTAACATTGTCTGGATAACAAGATGTTTCGCAATAGTGAAGAGGGCGTAAGGCATTTGTTTGGATAACAAGATAGAAGGTAAAGGTCACCAAACATTGAACAAAAGAAATGCAGAAAACACATTTAATGTAGTTTACAGTTTATACATATACCAATATCCCTTTCAAAATATGTGATTTAATAGATGACATTCAGCTTAAGGGAGTGAGAGAACAAAGGGAGAACCTAGCATTAGATAAAAAAAAAATTTGATAATGGACCAGTTTCTTAACCTGTTTGACATGATAACAAACAGAGTATAGTACAAATGGATTTATTGTAATGTTTGCTGAAGTAACTTAGAAAAAATCAACTTAGTTTACACCCAATTAAACAATTCACAATGAGACAGCTTAAATAAATTAATCAGCATACCTTAGCATTAGGAACCTCCATTTTTCGAGTAATAGTTGAACCATCATCAACCTCCTGCTGAGGCAGCTCATCAGAGGGTTGTTCATTATCCTCTTTAGTGGGTTCTTGACCATTATCTGCCTCGAAACTCTCAACTTTACCTAACTCGGCATCAGCAGCTTCAAGATTATCTGTTGACTGCTGATCCATTCCCTCCGTAGTTCCTTCAACTTGGTCATGTTTTACAGTATCCTCAGCATCATTTAAAGGAGAACCGCCATATTTTGCTTGCTTGTTAACCTCATTTTGCTGAGGAGCCTCCTCTTCCTCCTTTGCAGGTTCGTCTGATTCCTCAGCTTGGAACCCATTCTCATTGGCTGTTATGTTAAGCATAATAAACATAGAACTAGAACAGTTAGATATGTAAAGAAATAAATTGATAAACTATTCTTTTTGCATTCTGCAGAAAATTGAATGAAAAAAAGGTGTTTAATACCACATTTTGAATTATTAAAAATTAATATCGAATTTCCTAAATTCACATACTGTATTTCAACATAACATTACATTTCAATCATACGCTCCCTCCAAAAACAAGTAAAGGCAAATAACAGAAAAAATATCAACTACATGGAGACTTATTTTTCTCACTTCATATTCACACCACATACAATCTCGCAATCTAAAACATCTTTAATTTTCCAAAAAGATCGTAAAAGATAGCAACGAAACCCTAGAATTATAATTTTAACTCCATAAATTCATTCCTAAAATTGAACATAAAACCAAAAGAAAATTAAAAAAAAAACAGATAGCGTTTTCATTACCCAAGTCATCGGCATTATCCTCGTCGAGCCTACGGCGTTTGGAGTCGGACGAATCAGATGGCGCTACATTGTTATCTTCCGCATCGGGGTCTACAGCATTGTCACGAGGCATGTAGACAAGGGGGTCTTGGGGCTCGAGATCCTCAAGTTTACGCTTATGATCGAACGGGACAGGATCGGGTACAGCGGCTACGGCCTCTTCCTCCGCCATCAAAATGCACGGGAAAAGGGATAGCTAATCTAGGGTTTCGAGAAGAAGGGACAAACTGGGAAGCAATGAAAGTATTGAAGTGCTGGATGAGGATGGAAGAAGAAGTGATAAAAAGATCGCGTTTTGGGTTTGTGGAATAGGGTTTAAGGCTAATTTATAGCTGGGAAAATATCATTCACAGTTCCTCCTTTTTTCCTAATTTTGTCTGGTCCACGTTTTAGTTTTTGGGTAAACTACACTGACAGTAATTAACTTTTAGGGACGTTCTACTTTAGTCACTAAAATCGAAAAACTTTCACTAAATCACTAATAGTAATAAAAACTTTCATTTCTGCGACTTGACCCAGACGGTAAACAATAGTTGGCTTAATACACTCATATGTCAATAACAATTAAGTTAGCATGCCCATATGTTATTTTTTCAATAAATTAACACCTTCAATAAGATGATAACACAATTATTGTTAACATGCGGACATGTCGTAATTGTAGCTAGTTGTATAACAAATCGATGGTCAAAATGAAAGTTCTAATTAATGATGACAAATTTAGAGAAAAAATTGATTTCTTTTCATGGAGGTTCTAAATGACCATGAAAGCAGCGGCGATACTTTCAAGCTTTGATTTCCTTTTCTCAATGACCCAAGCGCTAACTAGTGGTCATTGAAAATAAGTCGGGACATGCAGGATAGAACCATTTTTCATTTGCCAAAGTCATTGCAAATGGTTCTAATCTAAGAACTGCAACAACTACATCGAAAAGGAGGGGAATGATGAATAGTTATCCATTGGAAAACCCAACGCCTAAAGGCTATTGCTAATGATTTACGTAAAAATAAGAAAGGATTGTACATTCACCACTAAACGGTGGAATTCATTGCATTAGATACAAATTGATTTTGATGTATATACGCTAGATGTGCAGTCGTCAGTTTTACAATTTTCAACTATTCTGTCATCAACTTAAGTGTACCAAAATTGGTTCCTGAATGCTCACTCGATATCTTTCACCGCATCCTGCACCATCACAATCCAGGCAACAAATATCAGATGAGTAATTCGGAAGGGGAAAGGACACAATTCATTTTCACTGCCGACAACCTGTCGTGTGAGATTTTAGGCAACCACTAATCCTAACCTGCCCCGTGCCTCTTGGAATTGGAACTCGAAAGTAAGTTATCAAATGAAATTTGGACTGATGACATGAACATTGGCAATAAAAAGGTCAACAGTACGACAAGTTATCCAAATGACATTACCTTTGCAAGCTGCGTCACATAAGCTGCTGCTACAGCAGTGACCAGCAGTCCGAGTCCAAGTGTCAATATACCATTTCCTCCACTGATCCCGAACTCTGAATCCTCGTGCTGAAAAGGTCCCAAAAGGAGAAAATTATAAGTCATTTGATAAAACCAGAACTCAGGCAACTGCATGATAACTAACCATAACACCAAAAATAGGTGCAAGTGTCATGGGGTCATTACCCTCTTCCCAAAAGACATGGATAAAAAATATGAAGTTTGAATGACTAAAATTGTATCATATAGATTACGTCGAAAGGAATATAAATGTGAACTTACAATAATTGCTCGACCGAATGCACCGGCACTGACATAAGCCCATGTTCCTGGAAGCATCCCCAGCCAACTACATGACAACCATTGATTCAGTTTGGAGAAAAAAGTGGATAGCAGGTAGACTTCTTCTAGCAAACTTCTATTTCCCAATTCAAAGGCGATAAGTGTTTTACCAAATACCAAGTTGGTTTTACATCATAATCTAACCTTTAGATCATAGCAAGCTGTAGGCTAAACAACTGTCCTTTAGGTCCCTTTCTCTTCCCATAATTGAGGATTAGGGACCTCTTCTCAAAACTCCAGCCACTTTTGGCAAACATCATGGAAAGCTCTTAGGAATTCGTTTATTAATGATAATGCAAATATAACAAATCTTGATCATTCCAATTGAATAAATGTTTTTTAAACTGAAAAGTAAAAATAATTTCAGGATCATTCTAATTTATATGAGAAAATGCGGTGCAGTTGGCGATCAAACCAGCAGAATCTTATATCAATTTCAGTCAAATAGAGACACGGAGAGAATTTTAAAACTGCAGTAGCGAGAGCATGCCTGAAACATTTAGAATAACAATCCTAGCCCTTCTTTTACAAGCTGATAAATTAATTTTCTTTAATAACAAAATTTTACAAAAAGTTGGTAAGCTGAAGGTAGATGCAACTATTTGTCAATTTAGTGAATCATGAATATCTCTTCAATGGCATTTAAACATCACAACAAACATAAAAGCAAGCACACATTTTCAAAGATAAGAAGCAAACCTTCCCAACATATGGCACAAACTTCACAGATGTTAATCCATAGAGATAATTCCCCAGTGAAAATGGGAGCAAAGGACTCAATCGAAGGAGGGTTACAACTCTGAAGCCATTTTCTCCAATTGCTTTGTCAATTGCAAGGAACTTTTTGTTCCCTTCAACTAGTTTTAGAATTCGCTCACGAGCAAAATATCTAGCAATCAGAAAGGCAACACTTGCCGCCACCTAAAAGATCAAAGGAATATTAATACACAAGTTCCAGCGCACTTGCATTCTCTCCTCTCCTGTATTAGGAAGATAACAAACTTACTGTTCCGCTGATAGAGACTAAAATGGTGCCAATGACAGAGCCGAAAAGAAGACCAGCAGACATGGTCAATGGAATGGCAGGAATAGCAAGAACCTACAACATACAACATAACAAAATGACTTACAAGCGTTAGACTGCATAAAAAACTAGAAAAAAAAGTAACTCATTGTTGGGAGTCGAATAGCACCAAATAAAAAAGGTAAAGCACAAAAGATGATAATTGATGCTTACTTCCAATCCTGCATAAACTGCTACAAACAAAGCATATCCAACAGGTCCATAACCTGTTTATTGAGGAAACCCACCATTAAAATTCTAGACCACGTTCATTACGTGAAAGAAAGAAAGCACGAAGCCCCTAACAAGTACGTTCTACTAGTCTAATCTGAAATTCATTCCAAGCACCATATGCTATTTAAGGATTTTTCACAGTGCAGATAACTTCAAACGCAAAATTGTAAATGGTTTAAAGTTGCACGAATTACAGTGTTAAAATTTCTTTAGTGGATAAGAAGATACATGTAAATCCCAAATCAATAAGAAAAACGTAGAAAGATTAAGCAAACTAAATCAGCAAATTCAAATAATGATCTAAATAAATCAATTCCGATTTCAAAGAGACCCAATTAACAAAAACAAATACCGAATACAGCGATAAGGTCCGGACTTCATGAAGTATAATACCTTCAATGAAAGTGGAGAACTGATTCAAGAAAGCATTGATTTGATCCTTGTAGATGTACCCGGAAAAACCAAATCCACCAACAACACCCACAAGTAAAACTCCAGCCAAAAGGGTACCTTTAAGCGCAGTGTCCCCTTCGATTTCTCCATTATTACCATCCCCATCCCCTTTGATTTTATCGTCATCATCGCCTTTGGGGTTGAGGAACCACCTAAGACTCTGTGGAGCATTGGGCGGACTCTTTTGAAGGGACTGCTGCTTGTTTGTTTGTCTGAGGGAAGAACAAGGCTTGAATAAGTGGAAACGCTTGTTGGGTTTGAAGCAGCTGTAGAGAAAGGAATTGGAAGAGGAGGAAGGAGGAGGAGGAAAATAACAAGAAGAAATGCACGGAGGTCTCAAGTTAAGGAGAGCGCGCATTTTAAGGCGGATAACAAGGGCCGAAACAGTACAACACAACACAAACACGAGTAGGCGCGCTAATGTCTGGAGCTGAATGCTGAAGCTGGTTTTGTTGAGGAAAAGAGAATGATGGCGTGGGCATCTAGGACGTTCAGGGTTGTGGCTCGGAGATTGTCTGCCTCACATCATGCCACGTCTTTCTATTGATACCAAAAATTATCAGCCTAGAAGATTTCCCCCCCCCCCTGTTATCCTTCTCCAATTATCAACGTTACTTTATAGAAAAATAGTGTTTAAGGAATTGAAATTTTGATAAATTATTACCTTTTAATGTTTTATTTGCTTGTTGAAAAGATTTTATTAGATAAAAAATTTAATTAACTAATAATTAATATACACTATTATGTAAAAATTTGTATATATTTAATGTCTAATGTGTCATATTATATATATATATATATATATTAAAGAAAAGTGGGTCTAATTAAAAACATCTTCTACCAATACGTGGTTGAGTTCCTATAAGGGGAAAAAGTGCCCAAAAATACATTAATCAATCCGGAATACAAATCATTTTTTATAACAATTGCAAGAAAAGTCGGATACTCGACCTCAAAAAAGAAGGAAACATTATAATCAAGAGCTCGTATGAGCAACTATATTTGTTTCACTACATACATACGTAACAAAACATCTATTAAACCCATTACATTTGTCTCGAATAGGTTGTAGAAGGACGTCCATCTTAGACTCTACAGTCATCCCACTATTAAACAGATTGACTACCGTAGTAGAATCCATCTCAATAATAATAGAGAAAATAACCTCAGTGACAAAAAATGCCTTATAATATACGATTTTAACCAACTTTTTTTGGATTTACCAAAATGACCAACTAAATCGCAATGCGATCGATAATTCATAACGCGATCTCCGGTATCGCAAATCAGTTTCCAGATTCGCAACGCGATTCTGACTATCGCATTGCGATTTCCCAAATTCGCGTTGCGATTTTCCTGATTCGCAATGCGAATACGTAAATCGCAACGCGATTACGTAAATCGCAATGCGAATACGTAAATCGCAATGCGAATCTGACTATCGCAATGCGATTTACATAGCGCCATTCGTATTAACGCGTATTTTTTTTAAATTCCAAATACGAATATATTAATATATCGGAACACTGAACCGTCCACAGTATATCCCGTAATCGCAACTCATAACCTAAAACCCTATATCACAACTCAGTCTCATCTCTATCTCTCACTCTCTAAGGCGTCAGCCGTCCCTATCTCTGACGAAATCAGTCCCCACGACGATAACAGTCTCCATCTCCGACGAAATCATTCACGGTCAGAAATATAAAATCAACCAAATCAACCACCGAGGGTTAGTTTTTTTAATTATTTTTATTTTGAAATT